GCCTACTGACACCCCCGCCACCCCCGCCACCCCCCTGAGAACAGTGTCAGTGAAGAGTGTGGCGCTGCCCCCTGCTTCCAGCAGAGACTTGAGCTCTGATGCCCAGAGTGGCATCCCCAAAGTGCCTCCCTGTGGGACTGGACCCACCAGGAGCTGTGATTGTTCCCACGCCCTTGGTCTCTTGCATTTTCCTGGAGCAGCCATGCTTCTAGACACCAGCTTGCTACCTCAGGGTGATGCTGGCGCACGCCTCTAATCCCAGCACTCGGGAGGCAGAGGCAGGTGGATCTCTGTGAGTTCGAGGCCAGCCTGGGCTGCAGAGTGAGTTCCAGGAAAGGTGCAGAACTACACAGAGAAACCCTGTCTCAAACAAACAAACAAACAAAAAAGGATGCTTGCTGCTCTTGCAGAGGACCTAGGTTCAGTTCCTAGGACTCATATCAGGTGACTCACAATCACCTGTAACTCCAGCTCCAGGGATCGGACACCCTCTAGCCTCTGAGGGCTCCTGCATACAAATGGTGGACATAAACTTGTGGAGGCGCACACATACATAAATAAAATAATAAGTCTTTTTTCAAAAATTGCCTTTCACAAGGTTGGGATAGATGGTCCCCCCCAGAGCTCAGCCAGGAAGTCCCTTACCTCTCCCTATGGCAGCATCTGGAGAGAGGTTAACAGTGAGAGCCAGGCACGTGTGTGGAGCGCGCGCACACACACAGAACCCAGAGGTCCATGTTAATGTCTTCAGTTACTCTCCACCCTAACTCTCATGGAACCTGGGGCTCACCAAGTGGCCAGAAAGCCCCAAGCAGCCGCCTGTCTGTGCCCCCCAGTGCTGACTGCCATGCCCTGGGCGCTGGGGAACCAAACTCGGGTCTTCATGCTTCACAACAAGCACTGTACCCACTCAGCCATCTCCCCAGCCCCACGTGTTTCTGTTACCGCTCCATAAGGAAGGGTCTGAGATTTTTGAGGCAGGGAACCCACATGACCTTGTCCAGAAGCAGGCGCTCTGTTAGAATGACTGCCTCTCTCACAGTGCACGTGGAGTATACACACAAATGTGAAAATGACTAGTGTGAAGTAACCATTCATAGGTTGCCATCAAGCTCTGTGGCAGCGGGAACAGTCGCCAGGCTGTAGAGCCGCCACCACGGGCTGGTTCCAGTGTGTTCCCACCCCCGCCCCAAGAGGAAATCCCATCTCTCTCATGCAGCCACCCCCGCCATTCTTTCCTCCCTCCCACGGCCTCCCATCTGTCTACCCGGCTGCGAGTATTCTGGACGGTTCGGCTACCTGGCATCACACACACTCCTGGGACCTCCCCTGTCTGGCTTGTCACTCAAGTCCTGTTTTCAAAGTTGCAGCATGCATCCCCACATGTCCTCCTTGGTCCCGCCCAAGCCGTCGCCATCCGGAGGGACAGGCCACCGAAGGACCATTAACCTTCCTTCGCTTTATTACCTCCCCTCCCCCACTGTCAATACAGGTCGGACCACGGAGCATGGCATGTGGTAGGATGCACCGGTGGGTGGCCGCGGCAGAAGTGGGGGGGGGCTCCCACCTTGGTAGACCCGGTGACGTCAGCCTCCTACCTGAAACCTGTGGGAAGTGAAGAGCTTCCTCAGCCTGTTCCTGAAGTCCAGGGTCGGCCTGGGTGCGGGGACAGGGCCAGCCTCGGCATCAGCGCCCACGGCACTGCCTTCCCCCTCCGCTGGGGTGGGGGCCGGCTCCTCCTCCTCCTCCTCGTTCTCCCACTTCTTGTAGTTGATGTTCCACGTGTGGTAGTCGTCCCCGACCACGGTGAAGTGCTTCAGGAACCTGCTCATCCTCTTGGCAGGAGCCACCTTGGCTCTGCGAGTGACCTGGAGGGCCGGGACAGAGCAAGCACTTGAGGATCCCATAGCTGTGATGGAGAGCGGGGGGGCCCCAACCGGGCCCTAGGGTGCTCAGAGTACCCTAGCCCAGGTCAAAAAAAGTCAGGTTGCGGGGCGGGGGGGCACTTATTTTTAGAATCTAGTATCTCTGTATATGAGGCAACAGGAAACCCCAATCCCACCAGACATGTCCTTGCGGTCTGACGGGCAGTCACCAACTACAGCCCGGTCTCATCAGGAGGCCCACGTGTAGATACGAGAAGAGCCCTGCACACGCAGAGAAATTGAGAGCGGGTGAGGGCCGGGGAGGAAGCATCCAAAAGTAAAAGTCCAGTTTCACAGAGAACTCACAGACGCAGGCCAGGCCTGGCCAGGCCGGTGGAAAGGGGAGTTCTCCCAGGATTAGCCAGCACGGCACACACCTGTAATCCCAGCGCTTGAGGGGTAGAGGCAAGGAGGATGAGGAGTTCAAGGCCAGCCCAGGCTACATAGTAAGACCCTATTGCAAAAAAAAAAAAAAGAATAAGGCTATCCCGCTGTGTACTCAGCCTGTTTAATCTACCTCTAAGAGAACAATGTTGAGAGCCAGGTGGTGGTGGTGGTGGTGGTGGTGGCGGCGGCGGCGGCGGCAGCAGCGCACGCCTTTAATCCCAGTACTCAGGAGGATCTCTGTGAGTTCGAGGCCAGCCTGGTCTACAGAGTGAATTCCAGGATGCCCAGGGCTACACAGAGAAACCCTGTCTCGAGAAAAAAAAAAAATGTGGCAACCAACCTTATTTGCTTTGGACTTCCTGTGTAACCAACTTTTACAGCCTAAGCTAACAGAGAGCTGTAATCTTAAATCATGTACTCTTCACTGCCCCTGGCCCAGAACAGGGCGTGTGTGCCATTGGCTGAAAGCAGCAAACACAGAGGGTGAAGCCACCTTCTAAAGTGGATATCCGTTTATGGAAGTCGGTTCATAAACCATTGTTCGTATTGCTATAGTTGTCTGGGTCAGTCGGGGTGACGTGATCCTTGCAGAGTCTGGGGTAAGATCCCTGTCAAGTACCCCATCCCTCCCCTGTGTGATGGCTTCCAGTGCTGCTCAATAAAGACAGAGGGACGCTTTGTGGGGGACAGACACAGTCACCCGACATAGACACACAAAAGGCGCCGTTACACACATTCACACTCAGGGACAGACAAACTCCCAAGACAGCCTCCATCAGGCAGGCACAGGTTCCCGCAGAGGAACATGTAGTGGGGGAATTCAAATCTGGACTCACTCCTGGCTAAAAGACTCGAAGGGGAAGTGCTTTTCTTCCTTTCTTTCCTTAATGTGACATCGAGGCATCGTTGGTGACTCGGAGTTAACCACTAAAGCGTGTAATCCACACAGGCGGTTCTGAAGGTTCTGCCTCTAGACTCCGATCCGAAGAGGACCCACTCACGGCATCTCTGGTCCCAACATCATTCCCGTCCATCTCTGCCTGCAGTATGGCAGCAGCCTCCTGCCACCGCCCCTTCTGTAGGGAACTACAGAGAACTAACTAACATACAATGAGCCCGTGGCAGGCTCTCTTGTGGTTCTCCACAGTCCCTCTTGCTGGTGTCCTTCCCGTCATTCATGCTCCTGGGGAGGCTTCTCTTTATTGCGTCATTGAAGTTATGTTGAGGCAGGAAAGAGAGGCGGGAAATTAATAGGAGATAAGAAGATAAAGAAGCCCCGCTCCCTGGGATCCAGGCTGCCTCTCTTGCTGACTGAGCCTTGGGAGACTTCAATGCCACCCACAAAAGCAAAGATCACCTGCACACATGCTTTCCTGAAGACATTTCAAAAAAGAGTGTTAAGAACACAAAACAGTGTTCACTTTGGGCCACGTGTTGTGACCCTGAGTTCCAACATATTAACGCTCTTCACTCATTCCAGACTCTCTACTGAACCTCAAAATCACCTTATGACTCCTTTCTTCTTTTGTCTTTCTTTTTTTGAGACAGGGTTTCTCTGTGTATTTCTGGCTGTCCTGAAACTCACCTGCCTCTGCCTATGAGTGCTGAGATTACAGACATGAGCCACTATACCCAGCGGGAACTTATGATTTTGAGCAAGGTAGACACACCCAGCAGGTACACAAGCGGTGGAAGGCAAGAACTGATTCCCAGGTTGTCCTCTGACCTCTGCACACGCATGCTGATACCCACAGATATCACACACACACTTCCACACCTCACTTTACGGTTCCATTAAAAAAAGGGAATTCTGCCGGGCGGTGGTGGCGCACGCCTTTAATCCCAGCACTCGGGAGGCAGAGCCAGGCGGATCTCTGTGAGTTCAAGGCCAGCCTGGGCTACCAAGTGAGTTCCAGGAAAGGCGCAAAGCTACACAGAGAAACCCTGTCTCAAAAAAAAAAAAAAAAAAAGGGAATTCTTCAAGAAAATTTAACTTTTAAACTTAACGTTTGTTTGTTTGTTTATTATTTGGCTTTTGAGACAAGGTTTCTCTGTGTAGTCCTGGCTGTCCTGGAACTTGCTCTGTAGACCAGGCTGTCCTCTAACTCACAGAGATCCGCCTGCCTCTGCCTCCCGAGTGCTGGGATTTGCTTTGCTCAGGCTCATTTGGGGATGTCTCCTACTACATCCTATCTGGCTTTGCCTGAGGGGAGGTGCCTGGTTGGGGTGGGGTGGCCTCTCTGGCTGCTGTCAGGCTGTGTTTCCCTGCAGCTGAGACACCGTGATGACATGGCACTTACCTGTGGATTCTCTGCCTGCCCCCCCCCTCCCCCGCCCCACTTTGCTCTCAGCTCTGGGACAAGTAAGATGTCTGCCATCTTGTACAGCTGTACCCTGAACAGTGCCCCTCCCCACGCCCCCTCCATGGTACACACAGCAGCATTCCGGTGTTAGGTGACTAAGTGGACACAGAAATGTGGCCAGAGGGCCGGATCCGCTCAGCAATTAAGAGCACTTCCTGCTCTTCCAGAGGACCTGGCTTTAGTTCCCAGAACCCATGTCAGGTGACTTACAACTGCCTGTAACTCCCGCTCCTGGTGGATCTGATCCTGGTACCTGTCCTCAGGTGCAAACACATCATACACACGCACACACATAAATAAAAATAATAAAAATGAAAATTTTAAATGTGGCCAGAACGGTGAGGTCTATATGTGCGTGCGCGCGCGCGCGCGCGCGTGCGCGCGCGCGCGCACACACACACACACACACACACGCACACGCACAGGCCAGAGTGGTATCAACCGTCCTGCTCTTTCAGTCTCCACCTTATTTCCTAGAGACAGGGTCTCTCACAAGCTCCAGTTAGGCTGGCAGCCAGCAAGCTCCAGTTATCTCCTGCCTCTGTCTCCACCAGCACTGACATTACAGGCGTCCAGGGCCACACTGCTTCTCTATAGATACTGGGGGTTCAAACTCAAGTCCTCGTGTGCGCCACTGGGCCATCTCATGTGTCCACAATCAGATCTTTAGACATCTGTTCAGCGTAGCAAGGGGTGTGATTCAGTAGGACCATGTTTACCCAGCAGGCCTAAGGCCCCGGGTTCCATGTCTGGCAGGCAAGCAAGGGGAAATAAAAGCTGGAGAAATAGCCAGGTGTGATGCACACATCTTTAATCCCAGTACTCAGAGACAGGCAGGTGGATCTCTGTGAGTTCCAGGCCAGCCAGGGCTATAGAGTGAGACTCTGTCTCAAAGACTAACTAATGGAGCTGGAGAAATAGCTTAGTGGTCAACGCAAATGCTGTCCTTGAGAGGGCCGAGTTCAGTTCCCAGCACCCACATAGCAATGCAACCATGTGTAACTCCAGCTCCAGGGGATCTGACGCCCTCTTCTGGACTCCATAGGTACCTGCACTCACAAGCACATACCCACACACAGACATGCGCATGTAACTTTAAAGAAGTTCTTTTGGGCTGGAGCCATGGCTCAAGTGTTACAGGCACTCGTTGCTCTTCCAGAGGACCTGGGTTCAAGTCTCATTTCCCACATAATGGCTCACAGCCTTCTATAATTCCAGTTCTGGGGGGTCTGATGGCCTCTTTTAGCCTCTGTAGGTACCAGGTATGCACACAGTGCACAGACATACACACAAGCAAAATACCCAAATGCTGGGAATTGAACCCGGGTCCTCTGGAAGAACAGGCAGTGCTCTTAACCACTGAGTCATCTCTCCAGGCCGGGTTTGTTTGTTTTGGAGACAGGGTTTTTCTGTGTAACAGCCCTGGCTGTCCTGGAACTCTCTTCATAGACCAGGCTGGCCTCGAACTCACAGAGAGAGATCCGCCTGCCCCTACCTCCAGAGTGCTGGGATTAAAAGTGTGCGCCACCACATCTGGCTAATTTTTAAAAGATTTTAAATAAATCAACATGTTAAAAGCTCACTGTAGGGTCAGCAAGATGGTTCTGCAGGTTCAGGCATTAGGCACCAGCCCTGAGTTCAATGCCTAGAAGCCACATGGTGGAGAGAACTCACACTTACCTTGATCACCACAGACACACTGCCACACACGCCAATAAGTGAATATGTGTAATTTAAATGTTTTTTTTTTTTTTTTTTTTTAAAGAAGATGTAGAAGTCTAAGCAGGAGTGTGAGGCCTGAAGGATGGATTCCGACTCCTGGCCTTGATACAGTAACTGCTGCTCTTCCCTACTTCCTCCGTGGTCACCAAATAAAATATACTGTGCTCCCGAGAAAGGAACGAGCCCTCCAGCCTGCTTTCTGCCTGGAGGGCAGAACTGGAGGAGCTTTCTAGATGAGGAGAGGAAGACAGGAGCCCAGGAAGACCACAGCTCCCCCACTTCCTCAGGAATCTTGGGGCAAGGAGAAGGACACACAAAAATGCCCCTTTGCTGGACCCTAAATGTCTGTCACAGACGCTGTGAGGTAAAATGTTAACTCGGGAAACAAAACAAAACACCTCTCAGGGACGTGTGAGGGACTGGAGGGCTACAGAGATGTTTCCAGGCTGGGTGAGGGTGGTCTGTCTCCAA